GGGGAGCTGCTGCCAGTCTCTACCGCCCGTGTTTCCGGGGCTTCCTGCTCACGCTAGGTCTTACCAGGGAAGAGCTGAGCTTAAAGCAACAGGGAACCTGCGTGCTCAGCAGGGACAGGAAGCACTTCTGAGCCAAGAGGAAGTGGCACCTTCCATCCGTGGGGCTGCGCGGGGCGGGCACGGGCTGCCCCGACTTCTTGGGGCCCTGCCCGAGGGGCTGCCAGGAGAAGCAGGCTGGTGAGCTGACCGGGCTACCCAGAAGGAACTGGCAAGGACGGGCGTAAAAGCCTAAAAGCGGTTTGGGCTCGGAGGAGCAGGGAGTCGCTGGCTCTGGGGGGCAGGGCGCGGAGACCACAGTGCCGCCGGGGAGGCCCAGACTCCCCCCAACGCTCCAGGGGGCAAGCCCAGCCAGTCATGGCTTGGCCACAGACAGGTGCAGGACCCCGCACCCCCGTCAGTCTCTGCCGACGCTTCTAAGATAAGGCAGGACCCTCAGAAGGAGGGACACCACGGCGAGCGGAAGTCGCAGCTCAGGACAAACACCCGCACGGCCCCACGAGTCAGCCACCATCCCAGACGGAAATGACGCGAGTGCCCCTTGTCTGGGGACAGACAGCCCAGGGGCTGTCCACACAGGGGATGTGACCCATCACGACAAGGACAAGGCCCAACACAGGCCACCGCGTCCGTGTGCTCAGGGGGCAAAGCCACAGGCCACTCAGGGTGGGCCCCCTACCAGGCCACCTACAGGGACAGCAAGGGGACTTGTGGGTGCAGAGCTTGTGGGGGGCTGCTCCTGGGGATGGGCAGCTTTTGCGGTGATGGAATGTTCTGGAAGATGGGAGCTGGCCACAGCGTGAGCCTGGCATACACCCTGAGTTACGCGCAGGCGCTAAAAGGTGACCCTCGTGACCCGTGAGTTACACACCGGCCGCTGGCAAGAAACAGACCAGTGTGGCCCTCGGGGACGTGGGGTCCTCGGAGCCCCCACGCAGCCGACTGCCCAGCCGGGCCCAGCAAACACCCTGTCGGCTCCACGGTCTGTGGAGGCCAGCCCTAGCCCCAGCACCGGCCTCATCCCGCTTTGCCCAGGGAAGTGACACAGGGAGACATTCAGAAACAGGGACACCAAACGATGACGAGGGGACAGCCCCATGCTGGGCTGCCCTGCGGGGTGGGCCAGGGCTGAGGCCAGGGCCCCCTGCAGACCTCCAGGGTTGTCACCTGCTCACAGGGCAGGGCTCTGGTTCTCAGCTGGCTACACCCAGCCACCCTCCAGACCCAGTGCCTGCTGCCAGCGGTGGGCAGGGGCGGGGCGTTCCTGCGGGTCCCTTGTGACACCCAGTCCTGGGAAGCACCTGCTGTGTCCCTCAGAAAGAGCACTCGGGAAGCGCCTGGGAGGCTGGGACACTCCAGGCACCAGCTCATGCAACACGGCTCCTCTGAGCTGCTGTAGGGCGCCAGCTCCCGCACAGCACATGGGCCGAGCGCTTGATGGGCACCAGCGCCAAGTGAACCTGCCAGGGCGACGGCGGCCACAAGCAGGGACCCTCAGCGCCTACGGAGGCCCTCCCACAGGTGCAGGGTGTGAAGCTGCAGGTGCCATCACGCAGACAGGTGGAGGAGGCCGTGCAGGCCTGCAGGGCTGGACCCCACGGCGCCTTCTCATGGGGTGGATGAGGGGGGGCGTCCTTGTCTCTCACCCCGCCACACAGAGCTGCTGCCTGCGGGGGAAGGTGTAGGTGCCACCGCCCGTGACCAGGCCTCGGGAGGGCTCTGGGTTTGCGGGCAGCACTTGGGCGCGAGAGCAGGAGAGGCGGCCAGGAGCCGGGTTCCGGGAGGACCAGCGGCTCTCCGCCCTGGCTCACCACGCGTTCCTAAGTCCAGGGACCAGACCGACTGCAGGGCCCTGCCCCATCGCTGCAGATGCCGGCGTGGGACCTAGAGAAAAGCTCTGGGCACCGAGGGACCGCCCCGAGACTCTGGCAGGTCCTGGTCAGCACTGAGAGGCCACCAACCGAGTCTGTTACAGCCTGGCGCAGACAGAGGGGCCTCCTTCCTGCAGGCGCTGGCAGCAGGGCCGGCCAGGGAGCCAGACCCTGTGCGCACACCCTTCCCCCGGCCACAGGCCACGGCCAGCAAGAGGCGGCACCCTCTGGGGCAGGGCTCCGACGACGGGGAGCAGGGCTCCACTATGGGACAGTCCGCCACAGGATGCGCCTGTTTGCGACCAACTGGGAACCTGGCAGCTCCGAAGGCCAGCTGGGCCCTGAGGGATGGCCGCCTGTCACCCCCAGGGTGTGCTCCCAGAGGGCCGGCCAGGGCCCACCTGGAGACGCTGGCCAGCAAGGTGCCTGAGGCTGCCTGGACACCCGGTCGCTGCTCCTGAAGCCCACGCGGCAGTCTAGGCCTGGCCCCCACCACGCGCGGCCTGGCTGTGTCCCCGCAGTGCGAGGGCCTGGACACAGCTCCTTGCCCAGGGCTGGACCCCAGGTCTCTCCCAGCCCTGAGCCTGTCTCCGCCGCCGTCCCTGGGCCCTGCTGCCTCGGTCATGGTCTCTGCCTGGCCCCCTTCTCCAGCCAGGGCCCCGGTGCCATGGGCCAGGCCCCGGCAGCCCGCCCAGACACAGAGGCAGAGCAGGGACCCACTGGCCCCGCCGCTGCTCATTTCCGGGAGCCTTTCAAGGGCCCCTGCCCCGCGTCACAGAGGGCGGGAGGGCACTGCCCGGCCACAGTCCAAGGTCACCGCCTCAGTCTGCCCTCGCCCTGGGGCAGGAAGGCTGGGCCCCAGAAGCCCTGTGGTGGGAGGGCGGGAGGGGCTGGGCAGCAGCGTGT